GTTGATCATAGGTAGTATTGGACGTATAGATAATCCTGCCTTATGCACTTTTCGCAGGCCATACATTTGTGGGGTATGGGTACCTACGGGTTTCCGCATCCTGTATTCGGCATCTAAGATGAAGAGTTGCAACTCAGGGCAGATTTACTTTTCAACCAGGCAAACAGTGTCAAACTTAGTATGTATTTTGTCCCATCTGCTAATATCACTTCATTTTACGCAGATAATCAGTTTTATCTAGAATAACTACTCCAGAACCTTTATCAAGTTTTAGTATAACCACATTTTTGTTGCGTTCTAGCACACGGATCACGTTATTATGTTCCGCCTACTTCGGCCTGGGCAACCGGGCAGTATCTCGTTCACTGACGAACCATGGACTTACAACCACAACCATTCGCCCCCTCTCTTGCTGCTACGATGCTATTCACTCATGTTACTATGTCAACTTCAAAAACACGCCACCATTTTACCTACCCTTCCCTTGTATCTTTCACTCCCATTTTTACCTGATTCCTCTATGACGATCAACCCCACCTACACCGATGAACGTGTTCCCGTGACATCTGCCAACTCAATTACACATTGCTCAACAGAGAGCTGCCAGTCCCAAAGTCTTCCATCTTCGCTCCTGCAACCCGGAACGCAGTTTAAACTTGCAGCCTTCAACGTACTCATTACTGCAGATCGGTCAGCGAGCTGAACTTGCATGCACGCTAGAGACCCTTGGAACTGTTATCTGCTGCTTGAGTGAAACATGATTCCAGGGCTCTAACTCGGTCTACCAGCTGGTGTCACCGTTCCATCCATGCACCCGCTTCCATCTTCGGCTCTCAGGTGACGCCGAATCTGCCGCATCTGGGCAACCTGGTGTTGGGATCGCCCTCAGTGCTAGAGCCGAGACTGCTTTGGTTGATTGGATTCCGATCAGTAGTCGCCTTTGTGCAATGAGGCTCCATGGCTCTTGTAAAGTTAACAGACGTCGAGTCGAAAGGCGTGCTCTCTTCGTGATCTCTGCCAACGCGCCCACTGACTGTAGCTCGGACACAGCCAAATACCAATTCTACCAGAACCTTCATGAGCTGCTCCTAAGGGCTCCTAAAACAGACATCATTGTTTTGGCAGGTGACTTCAACGCGCGTGTCGGTCGTCTGCTGCCATGTGAGCGCCACCTCGGGGGACCGTATGGATATGATGATGTTCGCTCCGACAACGGAGAGAGACTGCCTTTTTTGTGTGCTGATCATCAGCTCTTCCTCTCCAGCACCACCTTTCGTCATTCTGGACGCCAGTACGCTATTTAACGCCCCCCATCATCAACCTAGCACTGGTCACAGATTGACCACATAGCTGTCGCAGGTGGCGCGGCAGCGTATGCGAGTGCCGATCATTTTGTTCAACATGCGTCGAAATCGATCATGCACTGGTATGTGAGACCGTTTGCATGCGTTTCGGTGGTTCGGCTAGGTCAAAACACACCCGACTGAACACTTACAAGTTGGAGGACCGAATGGTGAAGGAGTACCAACAAAGGCCTCTTGAAGATCTCGCTCTCTCTCACACTCTGGATGTTGCTCAACACTTGTCAAGTGTGCAACCAGCCTTGCTCTCGGGTGGTTTGTCCAGCTGTGGTCTCGTTCGCCCCACTCCCAAAAGGTGGATTTCGGGAAGATCCTCGGAATTGCTGAATCGCCGACGTTTGCAAGGGCTAGGCAACAATTTCTTGTATAAAATTGGACTTCATCAGTGCAAAATTGACTGGAGTAGCAGCTCAAAACAACATACAACTGAAGTTGAATTGTTTTCTCAGCAAAAACATAGAATAGCCCCAGTTTCTGTAGCTATCCAGGTAAAATGCTTTATGTTATAATTTTTAAATTATAGTTCATGCTCTTCTGAATAAACGTTTTGTAGGCTTTAGTTGCTAGTACGTGTTTTATCCTTAGCACGTTACAACACTAGCGATATACTGTAAAATAATTCAGCCGTCGTTTCCCTTTTAGAAAAATGGCAATAAGGGTTGATTGCCCACCCCGCACACTTTTGAAATATCCTGATGGTGGGCAATAAAGCGGATTCGACTGTATTTGCTTGTGGGGAGCGTGAGTTGCTACGTCGAATGGAGTTAGTAAACACAAGCGCCATAAGTGTCCGATTGAGCTAAATGCGGTGACATGCACCCTGTTTCTCAAAGTTGTAGCTATAGAGTAAGATGAAGACTCGATTTACAATAGAGAAGGTTGACACGTTTGGCCAGTTCAAGCATTGATCCACAGGGTAACTAAAACTCCGAGAATCCCCCAGGGTTGCAGCACTGGTGTGACCAGAAGTAACAACTGCAGAAGCTTAGTTGGCCTGTCGCACAAAGAGTAGTCACAGACACTGTTGTGTCTGTCACTAGCTCTCATGTCATCTTTTGCGCATCACGGCACGATTTGCTCATCACAACTCAAGAGTCCCGGAAGTCGTACAGGCATTTGATATGGTTTCGCGCAACAAGATCATAAGTGCGGCCGCTAGTTCGTCATCTCACTGGACTGTACACTTGTAAGTGGAACAAAGACAACGTGTTGCTGTGGTGTGAAACAAGGTGACTTCTGCTTCTTAGCATGGTAGTGGACGAGGCCTTCAGTTACACCCGACCGAAGGAAGGATTCGGATTCAACGGCAGGGATATGTATGTGCAGTGCCTCGAGTTGAAAACTTGCCAACCTTCGCGAATGGTGAATTAAGTGTGCAGAATAAACCGGAATGTTTGCAATTGGGATTAAGTCTGAATACAATCAAACGCGGTGCCGTGGCGATTATGACAGAAGCTTCCAAGCGCTTTGTTTTTCTCTCTCTAGGACATACAAGCTTGCAGATGGTGTGATTGATTATTTTAGTGTAATGGAAGAGCAGACGTAAGGCGGAGAGCACCTTGAGTCTTGGCTGTGATACCAGTTCCATCACTGGAACTGCATCAGCAGATGAACCTGGTAATTTATCACACAATACGAAAATTGCCTTTATAGTTGGCCGTTGACAATGCTGATCAAAACACCCTAAGCAGCATGAGCCGAATAGTGCGCAGGGCGGTATGACACTGGCTTTGCGTCCACAACGACAACCTATTTCCTTTCCGGGAAAGACAGAAGGAATTGGCGTTTTATCTTTTGCTACTGAGACCCCCTTCGTTCATTGAAAGTTTACTAGCATGGCGAGTTCCTCAAACTGGTGGTTAAGGCAGTCGGTTCATAGAGTCGTTTGCGGTTGGTCATCGTAGCGCCAGCCTGCCCGTGATGGTGAGTAAGGAAGTTATCTATTCAGAAGTTGAACTCCATGGACGGGGTCGCCCGAAAGCTGCTCTGTCCATCCGGGGCTTCACGACAACAAGAGCCATATGTGGTCAAGCACCCTAAGCATAGGTTTCCGCGGCTGCATATAAGGACTATCTGGTTCAATGGTGATGTTCTGTACACAAAGAACCGCGCTCACTGTGGTGCCACAATAAGTTCAGTCGAGACAAATTGCAAGTGTGTCTGTGCGTGCAGAGAATCATTTGGTCACATATTGCAGCAATGCAATATCACACACCATGTCCCTTGCTCGGGCCGTGATCGGATTGTGGATCGGCTCAGTCAACTTCTACGGTTGCGCAATTTTCGCATTCTCAATGAGCCAATTATCCCTACGAGTTCGGGGCAATGTAAGCCGAATTCGATTATGCTTATGGGCCAACGCTTATTTTGACGGATGCAGTAGTCGCTGTGAGGAACCGGCTAAACTACATGGAACAAAACGTCAGGTATGACTCAGATCGTGCCAATACTTTCGTTCGAAAGGCGATGGTACATTGCCGTGAAGTTCAGGTCCTGGAATGTGGGCGCATGTTCAAGAAGTCAGAATTGGGCTTCCCTAGCACGTTAGGATGGCTATATGTATGGCTTTTACGCTCAACGATATATGCCCTATCTTACAGACATCCTGTGAAGCGGCATGTGGAAACCGCCCTTGGGGTAAACATTCATCGGCGGTTGGAGTGCATTTGAGCCCTCGACGCAGTTTGCAAGACGGAGAATGATTGCTTCTTTGCTTGCTGTTGCAGAGAATGTTTCCTCTCTAGCTAACTTAAGTATTGTAAAGATATGGAAAAAGGGAGTATCTAACTCTATGCGTGTCCATAACAAAACCAAATAGACACGCCACCAAGGCTCATCCTACATTTGTAAGCGAGCGATGTCCAGGCCACAGGTAAAGGTGTGTGGTCTTCGCTTATGTATCTGCTTTGTTCGATGCACGTAACTGCTAAGTTGGAAACTGAACGCCAAGTGCAGTTTTCGGGCAGGTATCATCAAATATCCAACTGCTTCAGCTACAGTCCCAATCCAAGGTTCACTTCAATAGGAATCGCAGTCCACAATGAGATTGCGCGTCGCAATCCATTTACACAACAAGTGCTTTAAAATGACCCTCCAATCGTCAACCATTGTGACTGGGTGGCTAAAGGGGTAGAGGTCCTGCCAACTAACACCCAGTGGTCCTAAGTTCTAGGCCTGCTGTCTCTACCTAGTGATAACAAATAAGTTGGAAAACGGTCTTGGAGTGCAGTTTTCGGACAGACAACAACCAATATCCAGCTATTTGTGCTGAAAGCATCCATTTTAGATGGGATTTTGGAGTAGACTCTCGGATCACCATCGGTGGCTCGATCATATGCTTCGTTGGTTTGCATATACTCAATTGATGCGCGTATTATCTGTCCATACCGCGGCCAATCAATGATGTGATGAAAGAACATGAATAAGGGGTTGAGTAGTATTAATTCTTGCCGGATAGGATACTCGGGAACAACCTCATCAGTTATTGATCATTCCACCAAATATAGCGCGATCACGGTCACTGGCGCTTTTGCACTTGCTCCATCTGAAGATTTTACCCTTTGCTCGTTAATACTAATGGTAGTATTCGTTTGGTGCGTCAAACTAATTGGGTCCACTGCACTTCGGCGCACGGACCGAGTTGGATACAAAAGAAACCTTTCGAATCAATGTGCAGGTTTAGTGTGAATTGACACAGTCAACTGACACAGCTGAAAAATATGTTCCGTCAGAAAGACAGAATATGTACAACTAAATTCTGTGCATGTGTCTGCGAAACTAAGATGTGGCCGATACGAGTTGACACTGTTTACCGCGCAAAGACTGGCGCCCGATGGACGGTGCAAAAGATGAATCAATGTTCTGTGACACTGAGTCGGCAGTTGATGTGGAATGGGATGGAGATGCAAGTGTGGCGTCCATATCGACGTCGTCTATCACCACGGCATTCACCTTATTCTCCAGATCCGTCCCTTTTCCCGAATCTGCGAGTTCGCATCCGGTTGCAGCTTGAGACAACTTTCGTGCAAGCCAAGCCTTCCTCTTGGCTTTACGGTATCGTTTCCTTCGCTGACGCTGAGCCTAAAAGGATGAGAGGTGGAAATAAATAAATAAGTATTTTATTCCCGACAGTGCGAGGCACGCCTGCGAAGGCATACTCATGATAATACAAACAGATATGGTCGGTAATTGCATAAAAATATAGCAAATTAACCAATAACACTAGATTTGCGTGTCTGTATATATGTAAGTGTATGTGTTACTGGACATGGTAAATGAACTTTCGAAGTGTGACGGAATTCGTAGGAAAGGATCGAAGGAACTCTTCGAACTGGATGACGTTCGTGAAGTTGGGGAGATCCTCCAGAAGGGGAAAAGGCAGTGACTTTATTTAGTTGCGAGTCACATCCGCTACGTCGCAGTGTTATTATGTGGATTTTTGTGGCTTTTTATGGGGAGAACGCTTCCCAAGCGAAAACCCACCACGTCCTGGAACACTGCCGCCGAACTATTCGCTGGAACGGGATTAATCCGAACCACCTAGTTGGCATCACGTGGTTCTTCGGCTAGTCAGCAAATCGTAGGTATTTGTAGGCCCTTACTTCGAAACCTAAGGTACCTCAACTATGAGCGAGTATAGTGGGAGATTATGACGAGTCTAGTTCGACAGATTGACAAAAAATCGGTGAACTGCGCAAGCACTACTTGTGTCCGTAATTTGGTTCACCAAATTTAGGGTGAAATGTTTAAGGCGGAAAATGAAGTCACTTCCCATTAGAATGAGCACCATTCATCCGTCTCCACCCCTTAGCTCGGAGTACGTGAGCACGTACACGGTCGAGGCTCTATAGGTCATGGTCGCAATCAGCGCATTTGCTATGGGCTCTTAGTTAGATCCAAATCTGGCAGTTCACGAGGCTCCGGGACCCAGACCTTGAAAGCCAAACTGATGATGTTACCTAGGTTGGAAACAAAACGTCTGCAACTAAAGTACTCAGCTCGGAGAACAAAGACAACACTCATCTACGCCATGAGCTACAAGTATTCTCAATAACATTCCATAGAGCCATAAGGATGGAGAAATTCGTTTCAACCGGTAGGAGAGATAATAGATATTACTCGAATCTCCGAGGAAGTCACAGTAAAAGTACAAATCGAACTTGAAACATGCTCAAACATGAGGAAGATGGAATGAGAAGCAATTCACATAGTGTGAGTATGCGGTCACATAAGTTAATCTGAAGATGGGCAAGGGAAATGCGTCAAACATGTACCATGAATACGGATCGATGGCGCTGTGTTTGCGTCGTCTGATCAACGTGTGAAATCGATCATGTGAAGTTTTCCTGTTGAGTCTTGTTGAATCCACTCTTCTATGTTTCTTCTCATTGTCATCATATTATCATTACTATCACAACGGCGCCAGTCAAATGGTGTAAACAGATCTTATCCATCTAAATATACGAATCACGCTTAATCAAATTAAACACCTGGAAATCGGTACTCAAGTGTGGTTCAATTAAATTCTTTCCCGTTCGCGTAATGTCCTTCAAGTATGTGGTGATATTATTCGAGCAGCCACCAAATGTCGCGGAAAAATGATGGGGCCAATAAACAAGAAGAATCACGGGAATTGTGAAGCCTGAAAACTCATTTTGGCATTTTAAATCCAGTGTTTGCATCTGCATGCAGTCATCCATCGTGCTCGAACTGATGCATGCAAAACGTGCAAGATGACCCAGAACTTACCACTTCTTGTTTCCGCGTGCGATCCAGATAAACCCCATTGGTTTCCGCCCATATCTTCAACTGGCGCTGTACATCTGCCGCCAAATGCACTCCAAACGCACCAGATGCTAGACGAGGATCCTCTGTAGAAGTACTAGGTTGTTTCGTATCGTCGTCGTCGTTCTCGACCGGGTTGTGGAACCGGAAACAATCTGCTTTGCAGGCCAAGGAAGATTTTGCTGCTAGCAGTCGAGCCGCGCGTCTGCGTACAATATCTGGCTGTAAACGATTCCCGCTGAGCGCTTTCATTCGGGCTGCAGTCATGGGGATTGGCTCGTCATCGGCAACAGACATTTGGTCGTTGGCGAGCGCAATGGAACTTTGGCAGATTGAATTCAGCAGCCCGGTGGAAGTAGCAGCCACAGCTCCGCTTTTTCTGTCATATAAAGAAAAAAGAGGTGGTAAATTTAAACGGGTAGGTTGTACATAGCTAGATATTCGCTTCATTCGCAGGCAAATATGCAGTCAAAACGAGCAAAGCAAAATAAGCGTGCTTTCCGCCTGGAAAAACTATTGAACAGGCGAGTTTGTGCCTCGTTAGTTGTACTAGTTGGATGGAGAGGAGTACACTAATGTCGAGTAAGGTGGTAGCCATAGGACCATCATGGCCGCTAGTCAGTCGTTATTGTAAAACCTTCCTTCCCACTTCCTAGATCGACAGGGACACATATATTTGTATATTTCCAACACTACGAATAAACATGGAGCCATCAAAATCCATGGAAATCAAAGGAAGGTGCAGTTGTCAGAAAAATAAAACCGAACACAACACAGAGAAGTCCGTGGTTCTGTTAGAGGTACGACACTACTCGGTTGCCCAAGCCGCTCCTAACCTCAGGCTAAATAATCTGCGCGTAAAGCAGCGCACCCAATGAGAGCTGATGACGAAGGCGTGCCGCTTCGAGTTGACCAATGGTGTGCATTCCCGTCAATTTCGAGGGTTTAGGTACTGCGGTGCGATCAGTCGGTTTGGATTGTGGCTAGCGGCAACATCAAGAAGTGGTAACCTCAGTCATGACAGACAGGTTTCACTCTCACAATGAGTCATGAAGAGTAGATCCAACAACCTCAGGGTTGTCATCGAAGGCCGTGACATTCAGAGTGTTGCGAGACAACCTCTACTAACAGAGTACGACAAACGAGCCCACTGGAAAGTTTTATCTAGACACATGTAGATTACTGCTTCGAAGACGCTATCGTGTATCGTCTGGGTCATCTACTTTCATTCTCAATGATACAAGAAACATCTGTATTGGCATAAAAACGCTGATCACAGATGGATCATGACAAATAATAACCAGACCAGATAATGACGTTTGGAAGCAAAGCAACGGCACACCAGATAGTTGGATTGATGTTGGCTGACATTTAGCCACTCACACACGTTGTTGTAAGACAAAAGAAACCATGGGTTTCTATGTTGTGTTCGCTTGTGTACGAACTACTGTACTTTCCTTTTATTTCCATGGTTTTTGATTGTATTTTTATCTTCGTGGACGGATGCAAATATTGTGAATAACTAACTGGGTCATATGAAACCTGGACCCCGCCCGTTGTTATGGGGCAACGGAATAATTTGATCATGTTCTGTGCAGTCAAAAACGTGTAGATGCTTTTATGAATTTAGTGCTCAAGAATGCAAGCACGTACTTCGGTTGGTAGGTTGTTCCAGATTCCGGCGTACTTTCGCAGATCTACCGGTTTCGAACTTGGATTCTGCCACAGAGTTTCCTTACGTCGTATGGTGAAAACGGTTGATTGCATTAATGTCATGCTGAGGTTGTAGACGTGCCACTTTTTACAATATGTTGAAAATTTCGAATGGGTTGTGCTTCACGCGCCGTAGCCAGAGCGAATCAAGATTGAGATTATCACGTTCCAGTTTTGAAGAACGTTTTTGGGAGTGTTTTCACTGCTTGTTACAATGCAATGCGGTCGCACTTTTTGAGCTGCTATGCAACATGGAACCATATTTCGGCGTGGGTCGAACAACTAATGTATAAGACTAAGGCTGTATTTAAGAGCAGGTAGAAAGCTTTCTGTACAACACTATCGAATTACGAAAAATCAAAAACATTTAGTTGTGAATCATCAGCAGTTGTGTCTGGTCCGTTAATCGTTTATCCGTGTTCGGTTAGGAATTTGTATTGGTGTCATTATTTCCGGGCATACGATATCTTCTTTTGGCATTGGATGTGCATCGTTACGCAAAAGCACAGTTTTCCGAAATAATCGTCGATACGCGTTTTAAAACACTTCACAGAAGCGGCCTCTAATAATTCTTCGGGTAGTGTATTCCATAGGTTTACGATTTTTCGTTCGATACAAAGCTGATGTGATACTTTGTTCATGCTGGGGACCCTGAGTTTGTAACGGTGTCCTAGGGTGTTACAGGGTTCCCGCAGGTGAAATATTGGCCGCAGTATGAGGAAGTGATTTAAGTGTAGTACTCGATGGGTCATAATAAGGTCAATTCTTACTCGGCGATAGGATAGTGTGTAGAGTCCGAGCATTTCACGTTTTTCATACGGAAGCTTTCGCAGACTAGGTATCATTTTAGTTGCGATATGCTGTATTTTCTCCAGCTTTTCAGTTTCCCACTGGGTTATCTGATGATAAGCTGGGGCACCGTTTTCAAAGATTGCTCTAATGAGCGAGGTGAATAGACGAGGGACGGTTTCTTCGGACCATGTGGAGAAACTTCGCCTTAATGCCCAGAGCATACGAGGTGCCGCACGGTACAACTTTTCTGTATTTTCTAGTGATCTCATATCATGTCGTGAGGGAACTCCTAAGTCTCTGACAGATGTGTTGGGATGGAGCAATTGGCCGTCCAAGGTGTATGATCGAGTGGCTGGGCGTCTGGTAATACTGATGAACTCCGACTTGCTTGCGTTAAGAGGGAGTTGCATTTCAGTGGACCACGTTGACAGTCGCTCTAAGTCATGCTGGAGGCGAGCGCAGTCGTCCTGGTTCTCAATGATCCTCCAGATTTTCAAATCATCTGCAAACAGGGCATATGGTGACTGGAGCTGCTGCGGAAGATCGTTGATATGAATAAGAAATAATACTGGCCCAAGTACAGTTCCTCGAGGCACACCACTAGTCGATGGGAACCAGTCTGTCAGGTAGTCATTGACCTGTACTCTAAACTTTCGTCCCACAATAAACTCATGTAACCATTGAAGTACCATGCCACCGATTCCGTATGTTCGCAGTTTACCAAGGAGTACCTCGTGGTTCACTCTGTCAAACGCCTTACTAAAGTCGATGTACACCACGTCAACATACTTCCGTTCGTTGAGAGCTCGTACCCACTGGTGGTTTGCATACATCAAGTTGGTGATGCAGGATCGCCCTTTCGTGAAGCCGTGTTGCGCTGGCGTCAATACGTCCATCGACTCGAAGAACGATAGCAGACACTTTTTCGCAACCTTCTCGAGCACTTTGGATAATACCGAAGTCAAACAGATCGGTCTATAGTTCTCTATTTTACTCAGATCACCACCCTTGGGAAGCGGTCTCACTACCGAGCATTTCCAGTCGTTCGGGACAGATCCTTCAGAGAACGATTTATTGAAAAGCTTTGTCACGGCTGGGGATATGATAATCGATAGGGACTTGAGTATTAGTGGGTGAAGTCCGTCTGGTCCGGGAGGTTTTGCACCATCGAGGTTGACGAGTAGCTGGTACACTTCGACTGCATCACATTGTAGGCTGTCGAGCAAGACTGGCGCAACCTGTGCCGGTACTGAAACCGCCGTCGGTTTACTGGAAAACACAGTGAGGAAGTGCGTAGCCAAGGAGTCCACGCGCTCCGCGCTTGAAATGAGCGTCTTTCCGTCTAAGCTGTCTAAGACCGGCAGGTCAACCCCAGGTTTCAGTTGACGTTTCAAGAAGGCAAATATTCTTTTGGGTGCAGTTGTGGCCGAGGATGCTAGCTCCTCTTCGAACTGCTGGCGTCAATACGTCCATCGACTCGAAGAACGATAGCAGACACTTTTTCGCAACCTTCTCGAGCACTTTGGATAATACCGAAGTCAAACAGATCGGTCTATAGTTCTCTATTTTACTCAGATCACCACCCTTGGGAAGCGGTCTCACTACCGAGCATTTCCAGTCGTTCGGGACAGATCCTTCAGAGAACGATTTATTGAAAAGCTTTGTCACGGCTGGGGATATGATAATCGATAGGGACTTGAGTATTAGTGGGTGAAGTCCGTCTGGTCCGGGAGGTTTTGCACCATCGAGGTTGACGAGTAGCTGGTACACTTCGACTGCATCACATTGTAGGCTGTCGAGCAAGACTGGCGCAACCTGTGCCGGTACTGAAACCGCCGTCGGTTTACTGGAAAACACAGTGAGGAAGTGCGTAGCCAAGGAGTCCACGCGCTCCGCGCTTGAAATGAGCGTCTTTCCGTCTAAGCTGTCTAAGACCGGCAGGTCAACCCCAGGTTTCAGTTGACGTTTCAAGAAGGCAAATATTCTTTTGGGTGCAGTTGTGGCCGAGGATGCTAGCTCCTCTTCGAACTGCTGACGTTTCTTGATCTTTACGGCGTTGCGTAAGTTAAGCTGTTTCTTGTACACCGTGTAATCTTCATCACAGCCCGAGCTGATGTATCCATCCCAAAGTTTGCGACGCCGTCGCGCTAACTGTCTATATTCCGTATCAAATCAATGCGGTTTGATAGGTCCGATTTTTGAATACTTAAGGGGAACGAACCGAGTACAGAGCGAGTGAAGTTTCCCCTTCATTAATGACCAACAAGTCTCAAGTGACGCATACTGTGGTAGTGTCCAATCAGTCTGACTTGCAGCTTGGACGAGCCCGTTGAAATCCGTCTTCCAATAATTGAATGTCGGCTTCCGTTGATTGTAATATGGTAACGACAGTTCTAAGCTTGCCACAATGGAGCGGTGGTCACTGTTCGCAAGAGGCTCGATGATTCTGATCTTGTTCAGCTTCTGCTCGCAGCTCGTAAACATTAGGTCCAGGCAAGATGCCGAGTGCGGAGTTACGCGCGTCGGTTGGATGACATGTTGCGTTATCCCGATTTCAATAGTCATTTTAGCGAATTGCGCCTCAACGTTGCCATGACCGGGAAGAGGTCGAACGTCTAGCCAAAATATCTTAGGTAAATTTACATCCCCCATCAGTAAGAACTGAGAGCGGCTCATGTGCTTCTGTACATGTGGTAGCCAATCACAACAGCGGTTTAATGGGCTCCGGTAGATAACACGCACTATTAGTTCTGCGCGTCTGAGGCGGATTGTGCACCACAATTGCTCGCATAAACTATCCTCGCTCCGATAGGTGCTGGTAAGTTTGCCAGATAGTGCCGATTTTATGTACAACAGAACACCACCATGAGCCTTTGATTTTCGGTCGCATCGGAAGCAAGAGTATCCTGACAACACGACTTCTTGGGGTATGACATCGGAGTTCAGCCAAGTCTCTGCAAGTCCTAAAACGTCCGGCCGCTCCGAGACAACGAAACGGCACAGTTCGTCAAGTTTGTTCATTAGGCTGCACACGTTGGCGAATGCCACACGGAGGTCCTGGGAGGTACTGCGGGACATGCCTGGAGGTTGAGCAAGCGGTTGATACGGGTTCGTGCACCCTTCTTGATCACCCGAAAATTTACAATTTTTAAGTCAGTCTCACCTTCCTCTGTACGGCATTTGAGAATGAAGAACTGACTCATGCAGAATAAAGTCCACAATAGCAATCTAATTTTTTCCTCGCTCTCGTGGTGGTATAGCCCTACTTGTTCACAGCAGTCAGATGAGCGTGAATATCACAATCCCAGGTCCCGTGTTGTACGATAGCGAGTAAATACATTTAGCGTCAATCCAGGCCGCTGAGTCAATTCGTGCAAGAACATTGCATGACGTTTGTCTATGGAAAAAAACAGTTTCCCCTTTGAGTACCATGTTTTTAGCGCCAGGAAGTTGAGTTGGATTATTTTAACAACAATGGAGACATCCGAGCTGAAACGGTACAAAGTTTTCATGTCATCCGCAAAAAGGTATGGTGCGCCGAAATTCACAAAAGTGAAGACATCGTTGGCATTTATTAAAAACAGTAACAGCCCAAGTACACTGCCTTGTATTACACCGCCGGTGTAGGCTCATATATGTGTTCTTGCACTTATATCGTCTGCGTTTGATTTGAATCAGGAAAGCAAGGTTCTCTATTTGTCACGCGCAACAGGCGTGTCCCACTAGGCGAGCGACGGGTGGAACGCAAGGGCTTAAGAGCAAGATCATAGGTGTTCAATACCCACACCGTGGCGTTTCACGGTCATTTGGTTCAGTACACGCAGTATCAAGATATTCTAGGCGTAGCACAGCGGAAAGTATACATTTGTTCGCCTGCGATTAGTTGAAAGGAGTGGAATTTTAGATGATAACAATGTGACTAAGCAGGCTAAAGATATGACTAGTGAGTCATTTTATGGTAATCGTAGTGTGATTGAATTGCGGCGCGCAATCTCAATGTGGACCGTGATTCGCATTATAGTGAACATTAGTTAATTCAATTACTAGGACAGTAGCTGAAGCTGTAGGAAACTGGGTGTTGCCCGCCTGAAAACACTGCAATCCACGACGCGTTTCGACGTTATTTGAACTCACCGGGTAGAGATAGCAGGCATTGAGTCCTAGACCATTGGCATGTTAGTTGGGACCCTTACCATGGTGCGGCGGACAACGTTTGACACAAAGGTTAATGAATGATTGGAGGGTCATTTGAAAGTATCCGTTGTGTGATTGAATCGCGACGCGCAATCTCAATGTGAACTGTGATTCGCGTTGAAGTGAACTTTGGACTGCTATCTCTATCTGATAAGATCAAATAATGTCGGAACGCGTCGTGGAGTGCAGTGTTTCCGTGCGGGTAATACCCAAATTTGTTCAGGCTGAAAATACGTAACGTGTCTGAGAGCGTGGCGAATGCTCACAATTTGTTATGAAATAAAGCTAAATTCAATAAGTAAGCGGCGAGTACGATTCTTACGAAAGATAACTAACCTGAATAGGGCTTTGGAGGCTCCCAAGGATAACACTCGTGAAGCTGTCATACTGGCCAAGCGCGTTAGGGATCCGGCATTGAGTATCAGGCGAGCAGCGACCAAAGAAGCAGAAATATTATCCGAAATACGGAGTGAATTTGAACTCTGAGATGAAGATGATGAATCTTGCGGTAGGGCTGAGTTGAGTAAAGAGTACAAGTTCGGGGCTAAGGATTCCACTCGACGACTCAGCATAACAGCGTATTTTTCCCGCATCTGCGAACGAAAAAGGGCGTTATGTTGCAATTAATCAATGGATGGAAGGCTACTTGACCAACTTTTCGAAATATGCTTAGAAGCGATTGAGAATTTATAGCTCGATAAATTTGAGTTTTACTATGGCAACGTTTCCTGGCCTGAGAAGAGCAATTCCATCGGATCAGCAATGATGTCGCATGCCTGATGAGGGCCAGGAGTGGAACCGCACACTTGAGGCCCTCCAGTAGAACCCATTCGGGGAGAACAACTTAGTCAATGCCGACACCCTTAACACGGGTCATTGTTTGGGTACCACCAGAAGCGAACAACGAACAATGACTTATCACGGGATAAAAGCAAGTGCATGACACGTCCCATAGGATGGTTGGGGTGAATCCGGTAAAATCAAAATATATATGGGTCATCTACCGAGCGTCTGCCGAGGTGTATGCTTTGATAAATAACATCAGTGTAAAATTAAAAAGCGAGGATAAACGTTCAGGAATACACTGGGGTGCAGTGGTCGTTGATATAAGGCGTGAGAAAAGTAAAATGTGGTCGCTCACTTGGGTCCATTTGATAAATAAGTCCTGTAGAAAAGTATGATGGGCGTAATCAACAGTAGGGGAGTTTAGGTATCAAAGTGCTGGGAGCTAAGAGCAACATCTAATCCTTTTTTGAAAACGTCCAAGGTAGGGGAGGATACAACTGAGTCGGGAAGTGCGTTCCAGGGTTGGTAAACCCTAAAAGGAAAGTTATTACGTCGACACTCTAGACGGCTATATATTTCCTTCGATTTTAAGCAACTACCCCTGGGCTGCGTGTTGTGGCTAAGCTTCAGCAAGTGGCGGCATACGTAGTTGGGGTCAGTCAATATTTGATACGCTAATATGAGATCGCCGCGCAACCTTCGGTAGCGTCCGCAGAGAATTCAAAGCAACTTCAGCCTTCGGTGGTAAGAGTGATAGCGCAGGCTCTTTACATTTTTTGTTGCTCTTCGTTGTTATGCCTCTTTTGCCCATAAATCGCGTTTCAACCAAGGTTGCCAAGCTTGGATATTGTATTCAACATGCGGGCGCAAGTAGGAATTGAGTATCATTGGGAAGATTGATGGGTCAAATCTCCCGAATGCTCTTCGCGGCATGCCCACGTGCTGGTGGCCTCTTTCGCAGCCACCTCGGCGTATTTTAAACAATTGAGGTCGCTCTGTACGAGCACAGTCAGGCAGTAGATCAACCAATGCGCATGCTCCATTCGACTGCTGCCCGTAGACCCATTAAAATCGAGTGCAAAGGCTAGGACTTGATTTGAATTTGTGAAGTCATCGGTTAAATACTTGTGAAATGGTTGATAGTCTGTTGTTGAATAACCTGTGTATATATTTTCAGTAAAAAAGGCAGAATGATATATGTTCTCACAATGATTTCCACATTGGAGTCTTGTTCAAGCGTCTCGATTTTCGACTCAATATTTCAGAGCGCATGCCAGAAAATTGAGACCGTGAGCACTTCCCCCTACTATGGAGTTGGGAGTAGTTCAAGCTCCGAAGTGCGACTGCAGAGTACTATTGAGATTTGATTACGGTCGTCCACATGCAACCCTGCGTGCTTCCTGGCCGTACGATACCGTGTAGCTGTGAACGCGGTCAGCCTCATTAGAGTTTTAGCAATATAGGAATATTGGTTTCTCTCTCAAGATTTGAGACAACTCGCGGTCTTCCTGTGCTACAGGGTGTTTTATTAATCATGTCCGAAGCTAGAAGCGGCTACACTCAGGTGCTGACGTACCCCGGTACGCTGAATTGCTAAGTGTCCAATGGCGCAGATTGCTTTGCCGTGAGGGGTGAGATAGAGCACAGAGGCGCAACATGTGTGTCTACGATCGCAGGGCACACTGAGCCGTTCGGCTGTGAGAAGTGAACGTTAGCAAACATCACAGCCTCAATCGACCTTTCATGCGTGGATCGCAGGGCAAGACCAAGGGAACGCACGCCGTCCGGCTGTTAGAACTGAACGCTGACGATACACCACCGCCGCAATGAATATGTCATGCCCCGACCACAGGACAAGACCCACGGCAAGCAGGCCGTTCGGCTGTGAGAACTGGACGTGAGCCAGACAACAGCATTAATGCCCAAGGTTGATTTAGTAAGCTTTCTGAACTGGGACTCCGTCAAGGATCAAAGGCCTGTGACCCCAATGCTATAACAGAGATATGGTTATGCCTCGAGATAAATGACATGGAAATCGCATTGCCAGGCGTGACCGCTGTTCGGCACGATCGACCAAGTAAAGGTGGAGGGCCGGCTCTGTACTCCCGCAGTGACCTTCATGGAAGACCTAATCACCATGGTGCAGGTTTCCTTTTGATGCCGTCTAGGTTTAAGAGACGACGACGTCTGCTTAGTCAGTCGTTTACCGCCCTTCCTCCTCCACGCTAGAGATGGACAACCGTACTGAGGCGGGTGATAAACAAGTAGTGAAGCCACGCTTTGGAATACCAAGCCGCTCCTGGAGAACAGTTCAAAGCGGATATACAAAAGTTTGTATCCATTTTCCCGATGTATGGTCAAATCAACATTCTCATCCGATTTAGAGCCGACTATACTGGCCGTCTATAATGGGTCGCATATTAACCAACGAAGAACTAATGATCGAGAAGGTAATCGTCGACGTCCCCTTGGGACGCAGTGATCATGTAGTCTTAGTCCTCGAATACATCTGTTATGCAAAATATCCCGTGGAAGCTGTCGACGCAACGAGAACGATTATATGCTATAACATATTAGCTCGACTACGTGAAACAACCAACTGGACCCTACTAGCAGACGAGGCACCGGCTAGCAAATGGGAACAGTTCGTCAGTCAGTTTAACACTCTGATGCGGAGACATCAGAAACTAAGGCTGTCCACTGGAGAAACGTGGTCTCGTTTGTGCAAAGCAAGACGTGCAAGACACGTAGGTGCATAGCGGTGTGAAACTCCGCCTGGCTTATACATAAACTCTCTCCGAGCGCCGAGAGCTGGATGGCCTATGTGACTTAATGTAACCAATGTACTCAACTTGGTCGCGAGAATAAAATGGCATACCAACAAAAGTTGGCAATGTGTATGGTCACAAATCAAAAGCTGTTGTGTCAACATGTAAACAGTCTACGTCAAGTGAAGCGGGAAATTCCTCCTCTTCAAACGGCAGGGGGACTGACACGGGCCCCGAAGGATGCGACAAATATCGTGCGCCTGCAATTTGCTCCAACCTTGCAGTGCAATCAGTGGCTACCTAAAGCTGACAGAAGTTCTCTCACTCACAAAACGCACTCATATCCTTCATCACAGGCACAGCACTCAAATGATGTATACGCGTAAGCACAGCACTTCTGAAGTTGATGACGTTCACCCAAAGCCACTTTCGGAGGTAGTAGGAGTTCTATTTAAATTTGTGGCTTGATTTTTCCAACATTGTTGTGACGAAATATACGTGCTCGACATGTGGAAACACGGGATGATTATTCCTATCCACAAGGGAGGTAGTCATTCCGATCTAGCCATAAACATTTATTTTTGGCGATGGTATGCATGGCTCAAGAACCGAGCATTACAGCAATACACCAAGATGGGATGAACATCCCGGCGGAATAGGAAACGATTGTCTTTGTCATAGTAATTAAATAACGATTGTGTTTAAGTAAAGTTGGAGTAAGTCCCTCGCGTATACACATCGTAAACACTCAGGGAGTGTCGAATTGTCGAAACACAGATATCAGATATATCAAATTTGGTCAGTCCTAATAAAGAAAGGTTTTCCGCGGACGCCGGGTGTGTTAAACCTCTATTGGTAGTAATAACCTGCCGGTGAACGAGCATGGGTGATTCTGGAAATTGAGCCTGAATATAATGTGATACAGCGGGAGCATTTGCGCCCGCCTTGTGTTTATTCATTTTAATCTCGTATGTACGCTCTAAATGATCGACGTCGCAGATTGTTATATCCAGAACATTTACAATGGAATCTTTAAGAACTAAGATGCCCGGCTTGATGAAAGACGTAGGGGTTAAAATCCGTTGTACTGGGATAAGGCTAGCACCTCTTTTCCGCAAGACTTGACAAGATTTTGGGCTATAACATTATGACGTTTACAGCCGGTGTCATGAGTAATTTCGCTGGATGGCAGTACGTGTGACATTGTTTCCTTTTGCTCGTAATTTTCGCGAGAATTAAGAGAATAGGTGCCTGAAGGAGCGCGACCTCTAGCTCTACGGGCCTTAGTTGATAAAAGCCCCACGAAGTTGAATTCCTCGGATAAAAGGTCGTGGAAAAATCCTCGCTGGTTCCATCAGCCAATGATGAGAAGTTGGGGTTGTCTGCGTCCCACATAATGTACACCCATTGGCGGAGCTCAGGAGAGCTTCTTTCCAAGCTGCCGCCGCTTAGTTTTTATCCATGACGACATGATTGTCGATGTAAACAAGTGAATTTGCAAGTCGATGGATAATAGCGGCCGCCAGGTCTCGAATCGCCCAACTAGTAATGGGATGGGAATTTACAAGGTGCCTCTCGAACCGTGTTTCCCGCAATAGCGGCACGTCAGTAGTTAAGAGTGAAATGCCAAGCGCAAAAATCCCCGATAGAGGCGTGCAAGTAGGCTATTGGTGTATCCGCAGGTAAGTGAAGCCATTTGCGGACACAAACTATCCATGTGTTTCAAGGTTTTCCGGTGAATCACAGAGAGACAGAGGGTATGAACATGGCGAGGAATTAAAAACGTCCGTTGATACGGTTTCAGTGGCGCTTTAGTGACCTCCTCCAGTTGTCTACAAAGTTCATCCAAAGAGAAAGAATACAATATTCCATTCCAGTTAAAAAGAAAGAGCAAGCAATTTAAAATGTTCATCAGGTTGTATCGATGGGATTAAGTCTTCCACAGTTAAAGTGGAACGTGTCAAGAACTGTCAATGTTCTCTTTCCATCTACCACAATATTAGCAGCAAAATATTTTAGTTGATTAATAGACAGACCGA